TTAAACTTAAAACAAAGAGAGTCCTTAGGTTACAAGGTTGCAAGTTGGTCACTCTCCTGTTTGTCCTAGCTATTAAGGAGCAAACAGATGTGCCTGTAGTGGGCATTCTTTGGTAAGTTGCCTTCAATCAGCGCCTGGAGGAGTGAATTCATTTGCAATGTGATTCTACACTGAAATGTGACACTGTAAAATTATATTGTGGGTTCAGTTTTCTCTCAATGCTTGCAGGCCAAACTGGCTCAACTGACTCATAAAATCATACGTTTTCTCATAATCAACCATGCATACTAAACTTGGGATCTGATAATCAAGCTATGTTAATTCTGACTTATACAGCATCTTAAATCAAAGTTTCTACAATCTAGCTAAAGGTTCTGCTGATACACAAGTCAGGAAACAACCCAATTTACTCTCATATAGCTGGAAAGAGGAGGAGGAAAGAGTAGTGAAAACTGTGGCTGATATTCTGTACCTCTAGGAGATGCAGCACAGAAAACTTTATACTGCTTTGGCACCCTCCCTCTTCAGGCCTCTGAGGACCAGGAGTTGCTCTAAATTACAGTGCCCCTGCCTGACCACTGCAGCATATATTTGCCATTGCAGGAGGGAGAATCCCTCCCCACACTCCTTTCTCTACATCCTTGCACTATGGGGATTCTTTTACTGCATGCTTCCCCCTGTCCTGAAACCCCTGAAAAGCTCTTGCATGCTCCACCAGGATCCATGAGTTTGAGTAAGATGGCCTGGGGGAGAAGGTACCCCCTCCTGATACCTCCCCACAAGAATCAGTATTTACACTCTGTGCTGTGGATCCCTGTGAACACATCTCCTACAGCTGTGTTTGTGCAATGAAAATATTGACAATTTAAATTGACAATGTATGTACCGTATTGCAATTCTTAAAGACATTTTTCCAAGTAAGCAACTGAATAATAAACATACTGTGTAGCTAAATCTCTCTATTAAAGTTATTTTAGTCACTCCGTGTATGCTTTTTTAAGAAGAGATATTTAATCTATAACTATACAACACTGATTATACCATGTAATTACTTGATATAAATTGTAAAATATTGTGTTTGGAAATGACAAATCTGAACAGGGTACTGTGTATGTAAAACTCCAGAATCATGGCTATAATTTTGAGATTAAAATGACACTGTCTAGAACTATTAGCATTTTATGTATATTCACATACATTTATTTACATTCGATAGTGTAAGCTAAGGTTTGTAACATTGCATGTTTCTATTATTTGAGAACACGGGATTTATTTGCTATGAAAACAATGCCTTTTCACTAAAGTACTTTAATGTTTCAAGAAATGGGTACAAACTTATACTCATATTTAATATAGCTTTTGTTTGTACTTTCACGATAAGGCACAGTGCCTGATATTTTGTGTAAACGTAGGGAAGGATCACTTCTAAGCAGAAGTGTGAAAAAAGTATTGCCAATATTTCATTCATAACTTTTTTCAAAAAAGAAAAGAATTCTACATGCAAGCATTTTGTGCAAGTTAGCAGCAAGCTGCTGACAAAGTCTGCTTTCTTTCTGTGTTCCAGCCCGAAGCATACAGCACTTAGAAGACAAAGACACCCCAGGCTTTTGATTGAGGAATGTCCTTTAATGTATGAAACACTGACAAATGAGGTAGTGAAAGGATTGTTAGAAAAGGTATGGCAGTTTTTGACAAAAAAATTAACTTCTCTGCTCACAGGATTCTTAACTGTAACATATGTATTTACATTTACAGGTGAATTATTTTTCAATTTGCAAATTTTGACCTTGTTTTCTGGCTTATAAAAACTACCAAGGCACTCGTTTAAGTAAGAAGGAAGTGTTGCTTTTTCCCCTTCAGCACTTCTGATTTTGTTTAGCTCTCTGTCTTGAACCCATTGAACTCAAACGGAGATTTCCACTGATGTCAGTGGGAGCAGGTTCTGACCTTTATTTTGTTGTTTTTCATGGTTTAGGCAACAGTAATCAAACTTTCTGTTGGGATATGCACATATAGTAGCTCCTTCTAGAATTTTGATGTAATATTGTATTAAATTAAAATCTGAAAATGCATATTTATTTGTTCCTTGTTAAGTAATATACTCAAATAAAACTGACATCTGTAGATGGATTTTCTAAGCAAGGACAAATAGATTGTCTCATCTTATTCCGTAAATTACAATAGGCATGCAAAAGTGTTGCTTTTATAGAAGTATTTACCTTTGATTACTTATGCAGTAAATCTTTTCAAAACTAAAGAACATTAAACTTCCACTCTAATAAACTTTGTCTCTCACTTCCTCTGCTAAGTTGAAGACAAGAAAGTTGTTATTACAAAAATTATAGTAATATAGTTGTCTAAATTAGTTGCTAGGGAAAGTTTAAAGGAAGAGCATCTTTAAAATATTTTAAGATCGTTGAGGTTGTGGCTGAGAGAGCTATTTAGAGATTTTAAATGGCTGTATTAGAAGTACTCTGTGAAGTAATCAGAATTTAAAATGAGACAGTTTCATGTTTATACCAATTTGCTTTGGTAAGTCAGATATACGTTAATACCAAATAAATATATTAAATTATAAATAAACTTAAAATAAGCATTTGTTCAGTCTTGTACAAGGAAATCTGAAGTATAAGCATTAGAGGAAATATTTTTATTAGTCAAAAAAATTATCCTTGAATTCAAATCTTTCCAGTATTTTAAAAAATGATTGAGTCGATAACCCATGGTTAAATCTTTTAAAAAGTTAAAAATGTAGTAATTTGGAGGGGGAATGTCTCTTGTGCTTCTAAATCCTTTAGGCACTTTTAAAAATCTCCCCCAACATTACTTGCTGCCCTCAAGATAATTTTGGTTCTGTTGCAAAATGGATACCATTTTTGATCCCAAGTGGCTGCATTTTAGTGGGTTGTGAAGTTCACAGACATGTAATAAAATGTTTGTTATTCTTCTACATGAAAGGTGCTATATACATTTAAGTTGGTATTACTAACTAGTATTTGAACACATTTCTTGGGCGAATCATAGAAGCTACCCTGTTTGCAGAATTCCTATTGACTTCAATGCATGGAGAGCTTGCAGAATTAAGCAAACTGATATTTGCCTTAAAATATATAACTTGAGAACTCCACAATCCTTAAGTACATTGTGTCTTGGATATATTTGCTTGCAAATCAACATCTTCATTTATGGAATATGTGTGACATATTGTCAACCTGTACATTCACAAAGTTTCAAAATAACTCTATTTTATACATGCAGGTCAATGAAGCTGCTAAAAGAGGGAAGAAGTTTGTTGGATTTATAACACAGCATTTTCCTCAACCTAAATTCTGTAATGGCACAAACACAGATGGAAATGTGGACTCTGAATCAGCACTAAGTATAAAGAGTAGAGAGCACAGGAAATACAATTATGACGAAAACTATAAAAACTGGAATGAAGGGACTTTGAGTGGTCAGTCATCTGAGAGTGGAATAGAGGAAGAAATTCAGCCAGAAAGGGGACAGTTACAGGATGCTGATTTCTCCAGCCCTACTAAACCAAGAAAAGGAGAAGGTAATAAAACACTACCTGTCTATTGCATAAGCAGGATAATTACATTGACTTATAGCAAAAAAGGATAACAAAAATGTAAAGCAAAACTTATAGTATATTCTAGCTTATGAAATATAGGTTTTAAAGATCTCTAAGTTTAAATACATATTCATTTTTAAAGCAGCTTGACAAATAGAAAACAATACTAATTTTGTTTTCTGTAGTATGTATCCAATATTATGTAGAAATTACCTTTCTCTTCGAATATCAGGGTTGGAAAGGACCTCAGGAGGTCATCTAGTCCAACCCCCTGCTCAGAGCAGGACCAATCCCCAGACAGATTTTTGCCCCAGATCCCTAAATGGCCTCCTCAAGGATTGAACTCACAACCCTGGCTTTAGCAGGCCAATGCTCAAACCACTGAGCTATCCCTCCCCTGAGAAAAAGTGAACTGTTAAAACTTTAGACTGTTAAAGCATAAACAGTGAAAGCGCATTGTTTTTAATATTGCAGGCAAATAACTTTGTATGACCAATGTGTGCATAAGAAAACACAACTGTGTGTGCCTGAAAAATAGTGTCCTATCATCAAAGGATGAAATTGTGTTACAAGATTTGTTACCCTTATTAATCAGCAAGAAACTTTTAATAGGCCCCTAATATTACACCACAATGATTCAAACTCCCTAACTTGAATTAAATTTAAGACAAATGGGACCTGTTAGGTTCTAGGGATATAATTCAAACATATTCCTCTCCATCCCATGTAATGCATAGCAGACTAATCTATTCATAACAGACTGATTTTGGTAACATACCTTCAAGAGGTACCCTGAGGGAACTGAATTTAATGCAATAGTGAAATCAAAGAGCATAATAGATAAAGAATTTATTTACATTAGAGGAAACGTGCATAAAAAGTGGATTATACAGAAAAGTTATTGGTGAACATTTTTGTTAATGTGGCAGAAAGCTTAGTTACAAAAGGAAGTTGTAAAGATATTAAAATATACAACCCATTCTGTTTGAGAAGTCATCTAGAACACTGTGACTCTGGATGTCAGGCGTCTTTACTTTGGCGATGTGTTCACTAAGAAAGAAAGTGTGTTCTTTAAGTTAGCTGATACATGGTAACTAACATGAAGTAAAATCCTAGAGAAGGCAAAGCAGCTCCTAATTTTCACACATGAACAAGTCGTGGTAAAGCTATGAGGGAGTCCAGAGTTTACCTCAACCTGATAACTCATATTACAAACTGCCATGTGTTCCCTAGAACCTCATGTTAGTTACCATGCAATAGCTAACACAAGTTAAGAACAGACCTTTTTTCTACTGAAGATGCACCCTTTGCGGGAAACAGAGAGAGGAACATGGGTTTCCCTATTAGGCCTTTTTAGTCCATTCATCCTTCCTTCCTTTCTGAGGTGATGGCTATCAACCTTGCCCGTCTGCTACCTAATAGGCGGATTTTAAAATGACTATTTAGCATAGTGAATTCTTTCATTATGTACCAGACACATTCAAATTAAATTCAAAGGCAGTTTTTCCACCCTCCTGTTAGGAAGCAAGTACCCTCCTTCATTTGAGGACTGCAAAGAAAACCTATTATTATTATTATTATTATTATTAAACCTGAATTCAAGTGGTTCTTGTGCAATATGCTGAGCCTTTATAACATGACCAGTTAAAGCATAACTCTTTCCTCCCAAAGTGAAGGCAGGTTTCATTAGTCTCAAAGATTAGTGGAATATAAATATTAAAATTGTAACTAAAAAGTGAGAAATCTTAGTCAGTCACAGCATTCTATACATGGATATTTTTATAACCAGTTCATCAACCAAGACATTTCCTGAATGCAAACGTTTTATGGGAATCTTAAAAGATTTCTATCCTGGATTTGTCTTACTTTTCTTCAGCTGTTAGTCACATGATCATAGAGGTTATTAGCATTTCTAAGATAATGACCATTGGAAATGTAACATCCACTCTTTTTGAACACTGCATATCACCCTTAGTTCCTTAAAAAAAAAGTTACAAGCACACATTTTGAAAAAAATTCAATTAACTGCATGCCATTCTGCATGCAGATTTGCATCCTATTTTGATATGCCATGTTCATCTCAATCTTTGTGCAGGAGATACAAAATAAAATTACATGTCTGAGTGCCAAATTTTAGGAACAGCAGATGTTCAAGGTTTGAATATCTAGTTCTGATTATATTACTACTGGTATGTAATATCTCTGGTAGACATGAACATTTGCACAAAATGATAATTGCACTAAGATTTTGTACTTCCTATTAACAAATATGAAAGCATGAAGCAAAAACATTAACTGCGTTAAGTTGTGTTACTTAACAGTACTGGTAAAGATAAAGCAGTATAAGTCCCTGGTATGGATGCAGTTATACTGGTATATAGGGGGTTATACTGTACAGGAACAATACCATTATAAGCACCTTTATACAGCTATAACTGCATCCACACCAGAGGGGTTGTACTCGTGTAGTTATATCAGTAAATCTGTCTGTCTTCTCACACCCTAACCAACATAGTTATACTAGTACAAAAACTGTGTGGTAAACCAGGCCTTAAATGATCTGGTCAGTTGGACCATCTAAAATTGAGTGTGAAGACAAACTATTTTTATGGATGCATGTGTTGTGTGTTAACGCAATACTACAAGTAAGGGTCAACTCACCAATGGGCCCCTCCATCAAGGCTGGATATGGCATAGCAGACTCTTCTCCTCTGGGATCCCCTGCTGATGACCACTCCAGCCCTAGAGTGGTTCACCTTTTCTCATGACTCAGCCCTCTAGCCAGGTCACGTTTAATCACACCCCGTCTGGGATAATAGATAGTCCAACAAAAACAAATGTCCGATCCCTCCATCCAGTCCGCCACACACAATTCTGAGCCCAGTTGTCTGTACACTATTTTCTCAGAGCTTCTAGTTGTCCATATTCCCTTCTCATGGGCTTCACACCACCTTGCCAGTGGCTGGAAGGAGAACCCAGGCCTGCCCTCTACACTGCGTTCCAGTCCAGGGTCTCTAGGACAGGCAGTCAAAGTTCACTCCACCAGACTGCCTGCTGCAACCTCCCTTGGCTTCTCAGGCCAGATCCACAAAGATACTTAGGTGCCAAGTCCCATTTTGTGGCACCACTATGATCCACGACACACACACCACACCACCTTCCCCCATACGTTCCTAAACTCTTTCAGCACCTACATTTTTGCAGTAAAAGTTCTCTAGCTGCCTACATTTCTGCTTCTGGGCATGCACATTCCTGTCTCACTCTAGGCACCAGGATGCCTCTCTCCCACCTAAATCTCAGAGCAGTCCACAAACAAGAGGAAGATAGGTGTGCCTCTGCCTAACTCATGTGTAGGGCCCAATCCAGTAGGCATGGTCAGAGACCACCTAAGTCCACACAAGACAGTGGCAGGGGGTGGGAGGGACAAGGAGGAGCTCCCTTATTACTTTAAGCCCAGTGGTTAGGGTACCCGCTGGAATGTGCCCACCTCTGCCAGATGAGGAGAAGGGATCTGAACAGTAATCTGCCACCTCTCAGGTGAGTGCTTTACCCACTGGGCAATAGCAATTCTCACTCTCATCCCAATTAATTGTTATGCAGTTGTTTAACTAAAGTTCAGCAACTTCAATAGGAGAGATTGAAGGAGATCTACATCAGAATATCCTGTAGCCCAATGGTTAGAGGTGGCAGATTCCTGTTCATATCCCTTCTCATCAGGCAGAGGGGGAACTTGAACAGGGTCAGCAGATCCTCCCTTATTCCAGGTAAATACTCTAACCACTGGGCTCAGCGTTATAAGAGAGCACTTTCCTGCTGTTTTGTATGCAGTTAGGCAGACTTTGAACATGCCTGTCAGATTGGGTACGGTATGAGATTTAGGTGGAAGAACACCCATCTTCCCCTAGTTTGTGGGTTGCTAGCAGAGATAGGTGCCTAAATGCAGGCTGCAGGGAGATCCTATCTCTGCACGATGGAAAGGGCTTAGGACACACCCCTCTCATCAGCAGCTCCCATTCACTAATTTAAGTGGCTACCTACCTAGCCTGTGGCTTTCGTGGATTGCACTCTAGGGTGCCTATCTCTATAGGGAGCTTAGGCACCTGCCTCCTGTTTAATGGATCACAGTGCTGTTCTTGAGGCTTTCTACACACCTAAAAGTTAGGCCCTGCTGAACTGAGCATCATAACACCTATATCCTTTTGTTTATGTAGGCCCTTCCTACCAAATATTTTTTGAGACTTTCTCTTCACCTTGCAAAAGGCTTCCTGTTCTCTACAGATCTCATCATTCCCTTTTCCCAAAAGAGCAACCACAGTTTTTTCCCTATAGCTTCTTCTGCTCTAAACTTGGTCTGTTTATAGCACCACCCAGCCCTTTCCCAGCTGCATTTCATCTTTAATCACACCTGGCCCACCCTCCGTATGCAACCAGGTAGGTTAATTGGCCTCTTGGACCACATTAATCCTTTCAGAGTCATTATGGAGTACACACCCCATCACAGTAAACTATGCATACTCAACCAACTTCTAATATGTAAATTCTTGCTTGAATTGTCATTTCTGCTTTGGCTGCTGTCCATCACTTCCCTGGAAAAGCTAGATTGCAGATGTTTTAAAAGGAAGTGACTTAACTAACTGTTGCTAGTAAAATGTTCTTCCTTATAAATAGATGGAAAATACTGGAATTGCTTTTTACCATTTTGAAAAGGACAAGGTTTCACCTTTCAAAAAACTATGTATTTTTAAAGGATAATGGTGGAATATAAAGAATCTGTATAAAATAAACTACAGAAATAATGAAACAGTATCATTAAGTAGTACAGATGAAACAAAAAGGCTTTAAACAGTGGAACTTTAATTATCTAGCACTGATAGAAATATCCAAATGTCCCAAGAACCAGATAATACTGAACATACTGTTCACTTAGCTGTTGAGGAGCCTGGCAATTATCTTTCTTCTCTGCACAGCTTTCAATAACATCAGACTTCTGAGTTTTCTGAATAATACAGTTATTCAGCATTGTTCAGTTACTTCAGTTTTCTCCATTCTGTTTCCTGGCCTACGCCAAGGCTGAAGAAGAGACATGTAGGGACAGGAGTGAGGGTGGACACTGAGAGTGAAATCTTGGGCCCATTGAAGCCTATGACAAAACACCCCTGAAGAGCAGAGCCACTTGAGTGAGCTGTGCAAGAAGAGAAGGTCAGGCTCCCTGCATCAGGAAAAACACAGGAAAGGGCCAAAAGGCGTGCTGCAGTGCTCAGACTGTGCACAGATTTGCTGATGGGAGTCAGGTCTGCACACAGACACCTTTCAAGCTTAGTCCCAGAACAAATTCCCCACATATCCCTCATCCCACCCAGGAATATATCCTCTATATATGTTCTGTGGAAGTCATGAAATAGTAAATCTTAAGCCTGTCAATGGTCCAGAGTTGATAAATTGCTTAGTCTTCACCTCAGACTGTGGTCATTTTGGAGGGGGGAGAGGAAACATTTCTCTGATAGGTTTGTTTTTTAGATGGTGCTGCTTGAAGTTGCTCAGAGGTTTGAAATGTTAGTAGTCCCAGGGATTTGATTTGCTGATAAATTAGTCCAAGGTGTGCACACAAAAATGCAGTTTATTCCATGGCTTTGCCCACAAATATACCAGCATGTGGGTGTATGTAATTATATACCTATGTAGTAAACATTTATTTAGCTAAAGCCTTATATAACCAATCACTGCAGTGTTCTTTGAGAGGTTTGGATTTGTGGAATTAATTCAGCTGGAACTCCATTTACTGGTGGTTATGTTTGTTGAGTAGAATAGTATTATTTTAATGCTTAGATAGAGAAAATAAGTGAGACATTCATGTTTTTTCAGTAGACTCCCTAAAAAATTTAATGATTGTAATGGGTTAAAGGAATACCATCAACTCACGATCTAGTCAATTAAAAAATAAGTTTAAAATCGTTTCAAGCACTACATCTTCCCCTGAATCACCCTGATAATTCTTGTGGTTTTATGATGACATTTTTCTGGGTTTTTTCAAGTTTTTTTCCCTGACATGTTGCCGTGTGAAAAGATCCACATAATCAAAGAAAACTGACTAGTTGATTAACAGGGAAACCATAAAAATTGTATACAAAGTGCTCTCATTGTATAAAAACGTTGAAAGTAGAGAAAAATAATTTGTCAAATAATAATCGTAATGGTTATTTGTAATAAAAATAGCAAATAATATTCAGACAGAAGTGTAATATTTAAGTTGATTGTATTCCTTTAAGGCATCACTTTTTCTGAACTTTTTCTTTTCTTATATTTCCCCTCAGATAAATTATATACAGTCTTCAATGTTTTTGATGATGACTCAACCTGCTGGACCTATCATGAGGGCATTTTGTCTATGAAAGTAACAAGAAAAGGGGCAGTCATTAGTACTCTGGATGCAGATTGGCTAGAACTAACCACATTTTATTATAAACAAGGATTGTCATTAATTGATTCTTTTGTATCCTGGGAAACTTCTAAAGGTAAGTAAGTGTATTTTTCATGAGATTTTAAACCATTGTGTTTATTTTGCAAAACAGGTCAGATTTTGCTTCTTAATATGATGGAGCAAATCTGATGTTCCTGTTTGTAAAAATGATGGGTACTATGGTAATTTTTGTCATTGCAACTTCACAGAATGTGAGACCTGATTTAAAGAGGGGAAAAAAGCCTTTCGCTGTTTCCTTGACAGTCATATCTTAAAATAATTGAAATTTCTCTTTTGTTTTACCCATCTCAAAGTTTTCCAAAGGGAAAAAATAGTACTGTATCAATTAGAGCAGCACTTACTGCTAATGCTATTTTATCAAATACTTTTTGCTAATAATAATTACATATAGTAACAAAATATTAGGCATAATATTCTCAGAATGCATCCCTAATTCTCGGAATCCGTGTCAACTGCTATTCACAGAAGGCCTAGTCCTGCGATTTGTTGAGCCCTTCCAGTGAATTTCTGAGTACCCTCAATTACCATTGAGTATATAGTGTTATAAATATACTATAAGATAAATACTGAAGACCTGTTCCTGCAGTCTTTATTCCAGCACGATGCATTCTGAAGTCAATGAGAGTGTTTTGTGTGTGTTAGGATGGAAGGATTAGGCCTATAGGGTGAAATCCTGGCCTCAGTGAAATAACCCACTGACTTCACGGGGGCCAGGATTTTACCCCTAGTGTTTTTCTGATAGTATCTATTAACAAACTGCTATGACCAAATTACTTATACTTTTGTTGCTTATGTACGCCAACAGGGTCCACCTGACCAGTTAGTGCACAACATGCTGGTGCGCTCTAGAATTTACACCCCAGCTGGTGCACACTAATGTCCTTAAATTTTTCTCCTTGGCTATTGAGTCTTTTTTATCTTTTCCACTCACTACCACAATGTACTCCTCACTTACTAAAATAAATGTAGTAATTAGAGATGGCCCTAAACCAAACCTTGTATCTGAACACCCATGAATTCTGGGAAAGTTTGGAATCTGTTCTAGAGTCAGAGTTCTTGTCTTTGGCTCATCTCCAGTAGTGATACCCCTCTTTTGTAAATGTTGTGATGAGGCAAATGTCATTTCTGATCATTCCAGATGATTAATGCACAAGCATCAGATCACCCACAACTGGTCAGGTGCTTGTTTTGGATAGTCACTGAGAATAGCCACATTATACTTAAACACAACACCATACATTGTAGAAGTTAACATTTAATCCTTTAATCATTTATTATCCAATCAGTAAAATACGACATATAGGTCACTCTAATTACACAGCTAGCTTCTCAAACAATTCATTAAGGACCACGTTTCTATTAATCATTTAAGTAACAAAATTTCTATGTGATTGGGTATTATGTTGGTTTATAGTTTCAAAACTCTTTAAAAGACAAGCCCAGATGTTCACACCAGCCTGAAGTTCCATTTATTTCAGTCACTTGGCAAGAAAGGGGGTTATTTCTTCTTTTTTCCAATAGTAGTTAGCCATAGGGTTTGTTGTTGTGGGGTTTTGTTTTTCATTTGTTTTAAAAGTAGCAAGATTTTACCAATGGCTCTATTAAAGAGGTTCTCAAACTGTGGGTCAGGACCCCAAAGTGGGTTGGGACCCCATTTTAATGGGGTCACCAAGGCTAGTGTTGGCCCTGGGCCCCAGCAAGTCTGAAGCCCAAGACCCACTGCCCGGGTCTGAAGCTGAAGCTCAAGTCCCACTGCCCAGGACTAAGGTTACATGCCCCCTGCCCAAGGCAGAAGTCTTTGGGATTCAGCTTTGCACCCCGCCCGAGGTGGTGGGACTCAGGTGGCAGGGCTCAGGCGGCAGGGCTCAGGCGGGCTCGGTCTTTGGTCCCCCCTCCTGAGGTTGTGTAGTAATTTTTGTTGTCAGAAGGGGGTCACGGTGCAATGAAGTTTGAGAACCGCTACTCTATTACTTCAGGACAGAAACCAATAAACTTGGCTTCTGGTCTCAGCTTTGACACAGAATTGCTGTATTACCTGGAGCAAGTCATTTAGTTCCTCTGGGACTGTAAGCTCTTTGGGGCAGGGACTGACTCTTACTAAATGTTTGTACAGTGCCTATCACACTGTGCCCTAATCTCATTTGATGCTTGTAGCAGGGTCTTTCTTGAACTGGCAATGGACCCTGCCAGTGCCTCAATTTCCCCTTCTTTGAGTTCTCAAAAAGTGCCCCTAACCTCTTTTGCAAATCAAATACCATCCCTTCTTGGGGTCTGGTTTATTAAAGTCACTCAGTTCCAATATCAACTTAAACCAAAACAAGTCTTTCCCCCACTTCTTTTTCTTCAACCCTTTGCAGGACTCAACAGTTCCTTCCAGTTCCTGCTGTTTCCTCAAGCCTCTTCCTCTTAAAGTTTCTGTCCTGCCCCTCACTGAAGGTGGCTCTATATCCTCTATATCACTCAGTCCTCTCTGGATTCCCTCAAGGAGCCTCCCAATTTCCTGCAAGTCTTTCTCCTTGGCTGTACTGAGGCTTCAGCGTCCAGCTTGCATGGGTGCACATGCGCTTGCTTGCTTGCTCTCTATTCTCTACATTCCTCTGGGCAGGGGAGCTCTACCAGGCCCACTCTGAGCTTATCTAGAGAAACCTCCCCATGCTCTTTCCTAACCTCTGATCTAATGCTACTTTAAGAGAGCAAGCTCCTTCTTTTAGGAAGTCCTGTCCCTGGGCTACCATCATGTGATGCCTGGTCAACTGACCACCCATCACCTAGGACCAGATGATAAGGCACAGGTAGGGTTGAGTCCAAATCCCTTGAAGAGTCAGCCCGTCCTGTGACAGATCCTCTGGGTTCTACTATACTACAAATGATACCTTCAAAAGCTGTTTCTTACTAGAAAGTCTGTGGCTTCCGTATTAGACTACTGTACTCTAAGGTATGGTTAATATTTTAATTAAGATGGAATCATGATTAATATTTAAGTTATGTATTTTTCAACTGAATATGATATCAAAAACAGGAAATTATCTTACTGGATTGCAAAAAAAAAAAATTATGTAGCAATTTCTTTTGCAAGTATTTGAAACTGAACTTTACATACCAAATGTAAATTTTTAGTCAAAGTTAATTAATACATTGCTATCTTCCTTACCTAATATTAGTTGATTTAAGATTAGAATATAATGCAAAGAAGAGAATATTTTGTAGTAATACTCTGTTAGGTGAACAGACTTGAACTGCTTGACCTATTTAGCTCCTTGAATTTTACTCTTAAGTTATTTTGTGCTGAATGAAGAGTTTACGTTCCTCTAAAGTGGAATTTTGTCTGTTGCCCAAGTTTTGTTGTTTTTCAGTTGTCCTAGATTCTAAATGGTCAATGTTCTTTTAGAGATGCTTATGGCGGTTGTGTATGAATGAATGGAGCACAGGACTTTAATTCAGAAAAGCTGCTTTGTAAAAGTTCATTGAAGTGTTTCTTCACAGACTCTCACAAACAGTTTATGCAAGACTCAAACTCATTCTGTGTAAAATAATGAAGTATATTAAGAGTGCTAGCTAAATAATATATTTTAAGGTAACTTTTTATGAGTCATTTAGTATCTACTTGTTCCCTGACCGTTCTATCCCCATTGTACCAATCAATTTTTCTGTTTATATGACAATTAACTTTTGCTGTGCATCACTCTAAATCTCTGTAAATCATGAGGCCACAGTTCTAAGCCAAATTCATTCAGTGCATGTGTGTTTGAGAAAAAGCTCTCATTTTTCAGTTTGCAGACAAACAGGCATCCCAGAGTTGCTAAAGAATTATTTTAAAAGGCCTAGAATATAAAAGTGAGCAAGCCAGTTATTTGTGACTTTCATCAGACAGCATGATTAAGAGGAGGAGCTCCAAAAACTTTCTTTTCCCTCCCCCTTAAGCAATAATTCCTGCAACAATAACTTAACTTGGTTCTGTTTACCTGGTCTGATTGATCCTCCCACCTTGCAGGGTCCTAGAACCTGCGCTCCAGCCCGAGCCAGAACATCTACATCTCAATTAAACAGCCCCATAGCCTGAGCCCAAGTCAGCTGGCTCAGGCCAGCTGCAGGTTTTTAATTCCAGTGTAGACATACCCTTTGACTTCAGTGGGAGTGGAATCATGCCCTTAGACTTTAGTAGATTTCTCCCAGTGCTGGAAATAGAGGGGACAATACCTGTTATAATTCATCGAGGAGAACTGCTTCAAACCAAAATTAACCTCAGCCACTGTTGGCCCACAGAATTTCCACAAGTCTTTACTATTTTGTTCTTATAAAGAACTCTCCCATCGTTAACACCTGGGGAATGTCTTACTTCAGCATTCCACACTGCCTCCTTTGAACAACTGGTGCCTCTGATTCTGCCCAGCCTGATTGTTATATATTGCAGTTGAGATCTTGGGAGTAACAATGCTGGATTAAAATGAATACGTTTAAAGAGACAATCTAACATGTGAGTGGGCTTTTCTCCTTCTGATCAAGTGTCTGTAACCCGGGAAAGAGTTTACAAAGGGACTTGAGCTGAATTTAGCTACTGGATTCTTTCTTGCCTGATTTGTTTGTTCTTGATCTCAACCTAAAAGAGTTTATATAATAAGTTGAATATTTGGGCCTCCCAGAGAGCTGAAATCTAAAACCTTTCTGAACAAAAATAAATAAATAAATCAAATGGAATTTAAACGATGTTTGCCTCCCATCACCTTGACTACTTTGCTTGTGTGTTACATCCTTTATCCTCGCTGCTTTTTTTTTTTTTCTTTAATAGGTGTTGCATTCTTTTTAGCAGGAATTGTCTTCCTATTTGTCTGTATATCACCTAGTACATTTTAGGCTTTATTGCAATATGAATAAATAACAACACATGTAGCCCAAACAGCTGCAGAAATGGTCATCTGGCTCAGGCCCTATGGAAGTTAAAAAAGAGCATTTTAGCAAAGAAAACAGAAGTATTTCCAGAAGCTATCAGAACAAAACTTGACAGTATTCTGTTTATTAGAGTGGTTGAACTGGTTCCTATTTTAATGCAAGAGAAAGTATAATGAATATTGAGCCACAACACAGTTCACTATTTCTATTGCAGAAAAAGCTATCGTGGCAACATTTTATTTGCTCCTCTGTTTGTACAACTACCTATGAGATATTTTTAAAAATATTATACTCTAGAATTTGTTTTGGGTACTAGCATTAGAAATGGTAAACTACTATCATAGAGTAGATGGACAAAAGGGCCAAATTAATTCCTACTGAAACTCCACTGAAGTTGATAGAGTTTCACCAGGGAGGAATTTGTCCCAAAATATTTTGTGAATGTCGTAAAAAAATGCTGGAATTTTTAAAAATATCTCAGAGGTGACTTTTTTATTTCAATAAGTTTGTAAAATACACAGGGCCGACGCTTGCACTAGGCGACCCTAGGCGGTCGCCTAGGGCAGCAGGATTTGGGGGGCGGCATTTTGCCGTCCTCGACGGAAATTCGACAGCGGGGGGTCCTTCCGCTCCGGGTCTTCGGCGGAAATTCGGCGGCGGGTTCTTTACTCGCTCCGGGACCCGCCGCCGAAGTGCCCCGAAGATGCAGAGTGGAAGGACCCCCTGCAGCCAAATGCTCAGAGGAGGAGTGCTGCCACCTAGGGCGGCAAAAACCCTGGCACCGCTCCTGAAAATACAGAAGACCTATCTGACAAGGTTGAAATATTAAAGATTAAAATATTTCCTAGTTTTGACTGTCTATTTCAAGCACCTACCTAAAACCTGAAGAGAAGGTCTGCAGTTGATGAATTTATAGAATTGAACTGTTTGCAAACCCTAATAAAGTGTGTGCAGGTGTATTGTATACACACTCAATCACATACATATATATACACACACACACATTTACACACCCAACCACATTTTGTGTGTGTATGTGTGTTTGTAAAAATTAAACATTATACACTATTTCTATACATGCCTGATAGGCATATATGCCTGTAAATATGTAATTTAATTCACATATCTCCAAAAACAGGCAAGATTTACTACAAATTACTACAGGCAGACCCAAAAAGAAGTAAGATTATTGTGACTCTGTTAATACTTAGCATTGATTAGGAAACCGATGTTTGTGATGGTCAAATTCATACCGTATTTAGAAAATTTATGCCCATCTGGTAAAATTCCAAGTCAGACCAACTGTGGAATTATTTCAGTTATTCTCCAAACAAAATTACAGTATCGCAGTATTTCTGCATAACCATAAGTTATGTGACAGAGACACTCTTCTCTTTACATTCATGGTATGTTGGAGAGGATTTAAAGCTGATACTGTATTCTGAAGAGTATTTCTATTTTCTGTTTAAATTTAGTTTAATTTTTTTTAGTTTTTAAGATTCTCGGCTATTGAGGTACCACTACAGAAAGGGCTTCCAGATGGCTCTTAGGAGATGCACTATGCTATCAAAGACAGAAAATGAACCAACATATGATGCACAGCTTTAGTTTGGGCCAGCTGGATATTATCAAACTCTCACAAGAAGTAAGTCAGGGAGGTGCTCTCTGAAACTTCCTTCCCATCAGGAATCCTCCTATATTTACTTCTGTTTCAGGCTCTTCCTGTGGCCAGTTAATATTTTTTTTAAGTGATTGTGGATAGACACTGTAATTTGTTTTGTTTTTCTTTAATCCTCTCCCATCTCCAACAACCATATTTGTTTTGGTCATACATATGTCATTTCAAAGTTGAGCATAGAGTTTTTGTATCTGTGTGCTTCATAAACAGTGGTAATCTTTCTGTTGTATAAGAAACAGAAATTCAAACTCAGATATGGCACTTGCTTGCTAATGCTTTTAATAGTATGGAAATTTGCATTTAATTAATAGCTGACTCCCTGTAGAAAAGGGAAAATACCGTAATTTGATTAAGAATATGACTTCATAGCTTACAAAGTGGTGACTGAGACAGCTGAAAAAAACTTTAAAGATCAATTTATTTGATGCCTCAGATAATGTGATTTCAGTGGGACTATAAGCTGTGTATGAAGTTAAGAAGGTGTGTACATCTTTGTAGGATATGGGCCTAAGTCTTTATAGTTCACCTTACACATTTCCTTGCTTCCACAGGAGACCACATGACCAAATCTTTAGAAGGATTATTTATATATGAAGAAGGTGGTTCAGGAGTTCCAGGTTCTAACAGGAAAGGAAATGACACAATAGTTGTAGAACAATGGACTGTCATTGAGGTAACTTGCTATTTATTTACCAATTTAACATTTTATCTTTAATTTTCTGTATTGTTTTTTCTTAGTATGTTTGTATCAAAGTTAGATACAAGTTTAGTTTGCCTTCTTAGAGTCATCTTTACACAAACAAGACTACCATTAAAAAGAACGGGAGTACTTGTGGCACCTTAGAGACTAACAAATTTATTAGAGCATAAGCTTTCGTGGGCTACAGCCCACTTCTTCGGATGCATATAGAGTGGAACATATATTGAGGAGATATATATACACAC